CCACGGCCCTTGCCAGCTCCACGCCCTCTCCACTGCAGTCCCCTTCACGTGAGGATTCTGGTTGTGTCTTGGCAGCAGGCCCTGCGGGACAAGGGGTGCAAGAGCAAGAGTCAGGGGACGAAAGAAGAGACGCTCCTGAAGAGGCAGGCGCCGGCCCCCAGGCGGGACCGGGAGGCCCCGGAAGCTGGTGGCACCATGAATGTAGAGAAAACAGGTAAAGGAGGTCAGCCCATCGGCCTGCAATGGCCCTGGCTAAAGCTGGAGCCAGAGGGGAGGCTCTTGTGGTGTCTGAGCTGTCCCCACATACTGTCCTCCTCACTTGGAGGTGGCCCATGCAGACCTTGGTCACTGTGATGTGGAACTCAGACCCTAGCCCGTCCATCCCTCCTCCAGGGACTCCCTCCTCTCAGTGACCCTGGGGCCCCACTCAGTGATAAGAAGCTTTGGCTAGCGTGAGCTGGGGTTGAATTTCCCCGCTTTTTGTCTTTTCCCCAGCGCCTGTCAAAAGCAGGGCGAGTGAGGCGGCCTCAGAGACGCCACTGCCTGCGGAGAAGGGCCTGACCAGTTCCCCTTGTATCTGTGGGTCCACCCCACCTGGGGACCCAGGGACCCTGGGACAGGGCTTCACTCTGCTGCCTCAAGGCCAGGAAAGAGGAGCGGGTGGCTCTGCTCTTTTCTGGCAAGGTCGACCGGTTCTGGGAGATTCTACAGGCCCCCTTTCTGAGCTTCTCCAGCGAGAAGCCTGGGCCCCGTGATAATTGGGAAGGGTCATCCTCTATTTGCCGAAGAGGAAGGCTAACGGTGTCTGGAGAAGAAGGAGCTGGTCTTTCCCTTGTTTGCCCTCCCGTCGCCTGAGGTTGATTTGTGTGTCTGAACTTGCCGGGGAGGTAACCCAGTCCCTTCTCTAAGCTCCTGCCAGAGACGCGGTCGCCCACTCAGTTCAACCTCAGGTGTTGGGGTCAGGCTGAGATGTGGGCGGAGGGCCCTGGGGGAGGGGACATCGTTCAGCCAATCAGGCGGGCTCTCCTAATCTGCTGAGAGGAGAGGCCAGTTCCAGTCTAGAGTGAGGACCGGCTCTTGGAGGCGGGGCCCGGCCCAGGGCCAGGCCTCAGTCTCCCTGAGCCTGAGTGCCCGTCGGGGGCAGTGCCCAGGCTGGGTCTCTGAGTGTGCACTCCTTTGAAAACCTGCACTGACAACTGACCTGCTAAGAGGCGCGAAGCCTCCTCTGTGCCAGGGCCGTTGGGTCGCTCTTCCCTGAGGGTCCCTTTGTCCCTTTGGTCTCACCTCTCCCCTCCCTCCCACACCCTCCCCCGCTTAGCTTCTTCGAGGTCTTCCCTCCCCCAGCAAGCACTCTTCAGGCCCCCTTTCGGCTCCCCTGTCCCACAGGCACTGTGCTGAGGTCACAAGGAACCCCGCCAGGCATGGGCACTGAGGGAGGCTCAGAACCTGCTGGGATACGGGTGTGTTCTGGGTGGGAAGGGCTACTCTCCCACGTCCAGTTGGGTAACACTTACACCCGCTCATCTGCCATGGTGTCCAGGCTTCTGTCCCAAGGGTGCCTCTTTGGGCAAGGACTGTCGACCTCGTTTCACAAGGGAAGACCCTGAAGGGCCTCTCCCACGTGTCCCTTCAGGGGCAGAACCAGCTCTTGGGCCTGGAGCCCAGTATATTCCCTCCCACCCCACAGCAGTCTGCAAAGGGCTGAGGGCCACGCTGGTCACATGCTGCCATGGCAGCCCCGTGTGCAGGCCTGGAAGCATCCGTCTGACCTCACTCTCTCTAGAACAGAAAGCAGAAGCTTGGCCAACTGGTGTGACATGCATGCTGTGTCACATGCAGGCCACATGGCCAGGGCCACTAGCCAACCAGTGACTGTCTCTGTTCCATGTCTCTAGTGGGTCTTGCGTTGAAGCTGTCCCAAGGGGTGGGGAAGCAAGGAAAAGCCAGCCTGCGTGTGTTTTGCCTGCTCTCCTGAGGCTGGAATGAGGGGCTTCTCATCTTCTACCCCTCCCAGGGTCAGTGCTGAGACTTCCTGGTTCAGTCCAGCCGGAAGCAGCTCCTTCCACACTCCCCACTCCCGGCCAGTCCACAAGGCAAGCTGCACTGTGGCGTCTCCAGTCTCAGCAAGCACACTTGCTGCCTCCCCTGGGTCAGAGGTGCCAGCAGCGTGTGTGACTCCGGGGAGTCTGGGAGCCCCTCAGTCCCACCCGCACCGGGCTGCAGCTCCTGGCACCTGTTGCGAGGGAGCCCAGAAGTCCTGGTCCTCAGAGGAGGCTTGTGGCCAGCAGATGCTGCTCTTCCGGCTTCCCTCTTGGACACTGTTCCGCCTCTGGGGACTTTGGCCAGGGCCAGATTGGGTCGCCTGCGGGGAGAGGCGAATCCCCTGCCCTTTCACCCTCTCCTCTGCCGCCCTCCCTCCTCCCAAGCTCCTCGCCAGCTCCCCGCCTGCAGAAACCGTGGCCGTTCTCAGTGCCCTAGAAGCAAGCTTTGACACGCCTCCCAGGCCCCATTAGCAGGTCACAGGCCTTGATTCTGTGTCTTTATCCTTCCGTCCGTCTGTCTGTCTCTCTGCTGCTCCTGGTGGTAGGAGAGTGGAAGGTGGTGGCAGGAGGAGGACCCAGGCAGAGTCAGCCTGCCCCGATATCAAATGCTTCCTCCCACCTGTGTAGTCTCTAGGCTCAGTCCTGCTGCGTAGAGGTGTCTGCCTCAGAGCAGGCCTGTCTGTGTCCCTGTCCATGTGCTGTGTCTGTCTCCGTGTCCTGGTCTGTCTGTCCCCTGCTCATGCACACCCTCCCTTTGCTCCCTTTCCGTGTGCAGGTGACCACTGCCTGGGCAGGGGGCGGGCTAGACAATCCTCGCCTCTCTACTCTGGAGAGGGTTTGGGGTTTAAGGATATTAGGTACCCTCGAGAACAGTGTTTTCTGGGGAGGGAACCTTGACTCCTTGGCTGCTGCCAGAGGGCTTGTCTTTCTCAGCGGCGATGCCATGAAGGCCGACCATGGAGAGGCTATTGCCCACCAGACCCAGATCCCATGCTTCGAGGCGAGCATTCAGTGAAAGTTACTTTCCCAAGTCCTGCTCCAGGCAATTCCACTCCCCCAGACACTGCCCGCCGAAGTGGCTTCCTCTGAGGCAGGCCCTGGAGACCCCTGGCTCTTGCTGCTGCTGGTGCCACCAGCCCTCGCCCAGCTCCCCGTCCCCTCTGCTTGCATTCCCTCCCTGTCCTGTTGGGTAACACTCACCACATGGTCTGCCCTGCCGTGACAGGCCCCCTCTCCTGGGCCAGGGTGGGACCTCTGCTGCCCTGCTGATTGGCCGCTACTTTGCTCATAGGTGGGCGGCTCTTTGGCAGCGGGAGGTGCTCAGGCCTGCCGGGGCCGCCAGGTGCGGCCCCTGTGGTGCATAGGATGGTGGAGGCCATGTCCCAGCTACAGGAGGAGAGAGCCCGGCTGCAGGAGGAGCTGGTGGCCCTGCGGGAGAGGCTGGCCCTCCGCGACAGTGACCTGCCAGCCACATCCACCCAGCCGCAGAATCAGGTACCTGGGGAGGATGGGATGGGCAGAGACCACTGCCCACCATGGAGCAGGTCGGAGGACATCGCCCCGGTGTCCACCAGGCCAGTGGCATAATGGTCGCATGGAGTCTCCTCTCCTGGCTCGAGAATGCGTGAGGGCGAGGATCAGGGGCCCGGACCACCCATCCTGGTCATCCTTGTGCTCCGTCCCTCACTGTTACCAGAGGCCAGGACCTACCTCTCCAGAGTGACGGGCAGCACGTGTAGACGTAAATAGAGCAGGAAGGTACAGGGACACTTCCTGCCTTGAGTCCACCCCGTCTTCCAGGTGCCCTGGACTGGGCAGCCTGAGTAGACAAAAGCCATTGCAGAGGTCACCCCACGGAAAACCGGCAGGGAAGGAGAGGCTGGTGTGCGTGCATGTGAGAGGAGGGAGCTCCCAACCCTCTGGAGGCCGGGGAGAGCCGACGGTTATGCTGGGAGCATTGTTTCCTTCATTGGCCGGCCAAGAGGACAGTGGGGGACTCTCGGCCCCTGAGCTGCACTGCGCATGGGGCCGACCACCGGCCCCCCTCTGCGTGCCTGGCAGCTTCACTGCCTCTTCCTTCCCCAACGCCACGTGAGCCTCGAGGCCCCTCTCCTCGGGCTTAGCTCCCCACGCCCATTCCTGTTGTCATGTCTGTCTCTCGTGCCTGCGTCTGACCTTCCCCACTTCCCCAAGGTCCCCAACCCTGTCCGCCCCGTCATCCCCGCGTTGGGTCTGGTGCCCAAGCTTCGGGCTTGGTCCGTGGAAAGCCCCGCCTTCGGGGGGAGCGTGCTCTTGCTCTGCGATGAGCCAGCATGTGCCCTTCTCTTGAGTGACCTTCACTGAAAACTGCAACTGGTTCTCAGCAGATTATTTTTATGCACTTTTTAAGTGCAGCATTTTTTTTTCCAGCTTCCAAACATGTCCTCGTCTCAAGACCTATCTGTTCTGACCACTATCAGCTCCTTGCTGAATTGGTGGCCCCCGTTGGGGCATCCCTAGTGTCCCGTGTCTCCCTCTTTTGTGCTGACCCCCTTGTTTGCTGCCCTGGGCCGGTCTACCCCACTAAAGGGGACTCCTTAAGGCAGAGTGTGACAAGCAGCTTTGTATCACCATTGCCTCCTGCAGTGCCCACCTCAGATGTCTGCTGGGTGCCTGGTGTGTGTATGGGCGCTGAGCTGAGCTGGGACGCCCAGGGGGACAGGCACGCCCTGGCCTGTGGAGGCTGCAGTCTGGGGAGGGACAGGCACTGGTTACGTGCACCCATGTAAAGTGGAAGGAGTTTCACGGGCTCTGCAGGCGGGCACGCACAGGGCATGAGGCTTGGACCAGGAGCTTTGTCAGGGAGGTCGCGACCTGTTGCGGAGGTCGGGGCTGGCTTCCCCGAGAAAATGACACTGGAGCTGAAGTCCGGCACAAAGCAGAGGAAATGTGCTCTGAGCTGAGGGGACAGTCAGCGCAAAGGGACTGCGGCAGAAGCAGTGACATGAGTACATTTGGTGCCGGCTTCTAGGACCCCTCGGGGTTATCGGAATCCTCGGATGCTCCAGTCCCTCATGTAAAATGGTGCAGTATTTGCGTATAACCTACACGCTTCCTCCCATATACCTTTAAATCATCTCTAGGTTCGTTATAATACGTAATACAATGTAGATGCTGTGTAAATGATTATACTTTATTGTTTAGGGATCAACTTTCTGGAATATTTTTTCTTTTTCAAATATTTTCAGTCTGAGGATGTGGAACCCAAGGATTCTGGAGGAACCAAAGCCTCTGTGGCTGGGGCGTGGCACCAGGGGCCGCCCCACGGGCTGTGGGGCTGGTGCAGCGCCCACCCTGCAGGACGCTCGGCCGACCCGTCCCGGGCTCCTGGGCAGCTTTTCTTTCCCTGACCTTCCCCAGTTTAGAGAGTCCAGGCACTTCACTTTCCAAACAAATTGTTTCGTTTTTAAAGAGCTTTGCTGGGATATAATTCACTTACCATAAACTTCACCTCTTTAAGGTATACAATTTACTGTTCTTCAGTATATTAAGATGGAGACACAATCGCCATCATTATCTAATTTCAAAATACTTTCGTTGCCCTAAAAAGATCTATTAAGTCATTTCCCATTTCTCTCTCCCCCCAGCTCCTGGCAACGCTGATCTGCTTTCTGTTTTATGGATTTGCCTTTTTGGAACATTTCATATAAATGAAATCATCATAATATGTGGCGTTTTGTGATTTTCAGCAAGTTTTTAAAACATGTTCTTTTTCTTAATTAGCAAAATCTACTTACTTTTTTAGAGGGGAAGCTGAAGGCAGCCTTTTTGGTGCCTTTGAGCCACAGCTCGCAGACGTTCTCAGCCCTCACCCCCTACTCCCCACCACCCTCCTGATTTTCAGCAAGTTTTTAAAACATGTTCTTTTTCTTAATTAGCAAAATCTACTTACTTTTTTAGAGGGGAAGCTGAAGGCAGCCTTTTTGGTGCCTTTGAGCCACAGCTCGCAGACGTTCTCAGCCCTCACCCCCTCCTCCCCACCACCCTCCCCTCCCCCGCCCCTCTCACCGATTTGGAGAATTCAGAATGGTGCCTGGTCTTTGCTCACTTTGTTTTATGCTTGGACTTTCTGACTGCCAGCTCTTTTCTGAAAATTTCTCAGGGGACACATTTCCAGGTCTCCAAGCCACTCTCTGGAGGGTTTGACCCTGTGGCGCTGTGGCCAACCACGTGGGCCTAGAGCTGCCACCACCATCGTCATTACTGGCAAGAGTTTCGGATTTGAATCACGGGAGCAGGATGCTGGCCCTGGCTGTGCCGCTCTCCGAGGCCCAGGAAGTCACTTCCTCTCCGAGCCTTCATTTTCCAGTGTCTCAACTGGGGCCGATGAATCTTGCTTCGTGGTTATTGGGCAGACCAGTTGTGAGACCGGACAGAAAAATGGATGATACGCGGTAAAGTTCTGTGCCTTGGGAGGTGTCACTCCTGCGTGCTCTGGTGTCCTGTCAGCCTCACTGTGGTTTGGCACAGGTCGATCTTCCCGGTCTTCCGAACGTCGCCTCTCTGAAGAGAGCCCGCCGTGGGGTGCACTCTGCCTGGTTCTCATGGCCTTGTTCCCAGCCTTGTCCACACTCACCTCTGGACATGGCTGCTTCCCCACGTTGCTCTCCCTGAAAGGCAGCATGCCTTGTGGCTAAGAGCGAGGGCACTGTGCGGGTCATTCTGGGGGACCCGAGTCTCCACCTGGAGCAAGTTGCTTAATCTCGTGGAACCTCAGTTTTTCTTTCTGTAAGATGGGCATAATAATAGTACCACCTCAGAGGACTGGGGGATTCCAAGGATTGATTTTATGAAGACCCCCGTCGAACCTGGGCTTGCGAGGGCCGTGGGAGGCTTTCCAGGCCTCCCATTGACACGTGGCAGTTGGAGAAATTTGTATTAACTGGGAGCCCACCATGCTCCTTGCAGGCAGTCCTTGGGCTGGAGGTCCCCAGTCCTTGAGCACCCAGCTGACCCAGGCCACAGAGGCCATCGGTCTTGGTCCGGTGACCAAGGGAGGCTGCGGCTAATCCAGAGAACTCTCCCCAGTGTTGGCCACGGCAGCCCCAGGTTACGTCCCACTAGCCTTAAGCTCCCCTCTACTCTCGTAGGTGTCCCTGGAGTGATGGCCTCCCCGCTCCCAAGGCTCCTGCCCATGTCACACACGCCCCCAGTGCATCCCATCCCTTCCTGCCCCGGCATCTCAAGATAGAGCCTTAAACAGTTGTGTTCAGAGGCCACAGACTAGATCTTGCTGTCAAACGTGTTGTGTGTGTTTGGCGTTTTTTTCCTTAATCAGTTAACAAAATTGTGGTAGAAGGCACATGATATAAAATTTGCCATCTTAACCGTTTTTAAGTGTACAGATTGGTAGCTTTAGGTACATCCACACTATCTCTCTGAATTTAGCTGCTCTGAGAACTTCATTTAAGTGGAATCATACAAGATTTGTCTTTCAGTGACTGTTCTGTTTCACACAGCACAATGTCCTCCAGTTCATCCATGTGGTTGCAAATAGCAGAATTTTGTTTTTTTAAAGGTGGGATAATATTTCATTGTGTATGTCTACATAGCTATGTAGTTATACGCATGCACGCACGCGCGCGCACACACACACACACACCCACCCCATTTTGCTTATCCATTCATCCCTTGATGAACTCTTGGCATGTTCCGCGTTTAGCTGTTGTGAACATGGATGTGCACATATCTTTTTGAGATCCGCTTTCAGTGCTTTTGGATACATATCCAGAGGTGGAATTGCTGACGCATACAGTAGTTCTATTTTTATTTATTTATTTATTTTTTTAAGGCTTACAGTACCCGGTCTTCCTAGGTGGTCTCCCATCCAAGTACTAACCAGGCCCGACCCTGCTTAGCTTCTGAGGTCAGACGGGATCGGGCGTGTTCAGGGTGGCATGGCCATAGACATTCTATTTTTAGTTTTTTGAGGTATCTACCATATTCTTTTTCACAACAGCCGTACCATTTTATATGCCCACCAACAGTGTACAGGGGTTCCCAGTTTTTTCATATCCTCACCAAAACTTTTCTATTTTTTTAAAAAACGGTTTTATAATTGCCATCTTATGGTGTGAAGTGGTATCTCCTTGTGGTTTCGTAGCATTTCCCTAACGATTGGTGATGTAGAACATCTTTTCATGTGCTATTGGCCATGTGTATTATTTTCTTTGGAGAAATGTCTATTCAAGTCCTTTGCCCATTTCGAATCTGGTTTTTGTTGCTGCCGCTGTTGTAAGAATTCTTTATTTATTCTGAATATGAACCCCTAATCAGATATATGATTAGAATATAGTTTCTCCCATTCCATGAGTTGCCTTTTCACTCTCTTGATATTGTCTTTTGATGCACGAAAGGTTTTATTTTGATGAAGTCCCACTTATTTATTTTTTATTTTATTACCTGTGCTTTTGGTGTCATGGCCAAGAAATCCTTCAAAGTCCAATGTGTGAAGCTTTCCCCCTATGTTTTCTTCTAAGAGTTTTATAGTTTTAGCTTTATCTTTAGGTCTTCGATACACTTGGAATTAATTTTTGTGTATGGTGTTAGGTAAGGGTCCAACCTGATCTTTTGCGTGTGGACGTCCAGTTTTCCCAGCACTATTTATTGAAAAGACTGTCCTTTCCTCATTGAACGGCCTTTGCACCCTTGTCAGAAATCATTTGACCATATTTATGAGGGTTTATTTCTGGGGTCTCCATTCTGTTCTGTTGGTCTACATGTCCGTCTTTATGCCAACACCACATTATTTTGACTACTGTAGCTTTGTAATGAGTTTTGAAATCAGAAAGCATGAGACCTGCAGTTTTCCAAGGTCATGTTGTCTATTTGGGGTCCTTTGAGATTTCATATGAATTTTAGGATGGATTTTTCTATTTCTGCAAAAAACGTCAATGGGATTTTGATAGGGTTGCATTGACTCTGTAGATTGCTTTGGTCCTTCATGCAGTCACCAGGTTTTACATGTGTTTCCTGAGCACCTACTATGTGCCGGGCACTGGGAACACAGTGCCTAACACAAAAGACAAATATCCCTGCCTTCATAGGCTTGCACTCTCGTTACAGAACCGGTATGTGCTAGGCCCTATTATTTACATCTATTATCTCATTTAATCTCAATTCACAAGACACCCTTGATGAGGCAGCATCATTATACAGATGAAGAAACCGAGGGGCATGGCGAAGTCGAGACTCGTCCAAGGTTATCTGGCAGATAGGATGATGTCTGTATTGGAACCTGGGCAGTTTGGCCTGAGAATCCATGTTCTCAACTGCCCCTCAGTGGCAGAAGGACTCAAACGTGAAAACTTGGCAGTGGAGGCAAGGTGGGGCGGATGGGGCCAGACAGGCTCGGTCAGTAGTCACGTGGGCAGGAGTCGGGTCTCCTGGGAGAGGGAGTGTGTTGAGGACAGGGTGGGGTGCTCCCCGGAGTTGTCCCTCTGGCCTCTGGGGCCCAGTGGATCCCAGGCCCCCTCGTCTTCCCCGCTTAGCAGCACCTTGCCTTGCTGCGGGGAGAGGCCTCCTTCCCTCGGGAGACAGCTGCCCAGGGTGGCGCAGGCATGGTGGGAGGTGATCAGCAGGTTGTCTGCGTTGATAGGAGCAGACAGCTGAGAAAGCGCAGTCCTGTGCAGGGCGACCCCACCCTCCGTGGAGCTGCTTCTGCCAAGGGATGTAAATGTGGGTTGTGTCAGGTCAGCAGGCAGGCCCGGCTCCCTGCTCCTCCCTTCCCACCAGGCCCGTGATTCAGTTTCCCTGGGCCTGGGGAGAGGTATTGCCCAAGCCCAGGCTGGTCCTTTCCTCAGCCCTGGGGTTGACACTGTGCCGTCCCCAGGGAAGCTCAGCAGTCTGTCAGGAAACTGCTTTCTCCTGTAGCTCTTTGCCCCCGGAGTGTGCTCACTACCCCTTTGCTGGTGCTTCAGGTGTTTATTGAGTATCTGCTGTGTGCTGGTCACCTGCTGGGGCGGGAGCTCGTGATGAGTGATGGAGAAGGTCCTGCCCCTCTGTGCACACAGGTGCAGGCGCCACTGCTGACTCAGAGCTGGGGCGGGTGCTGAGGGCCTGCCTGCGGGGGCACCCTCCCACGAAAGGCCCCCTCTCTGCTGTGGCTCAGCCACAGCTCCTCACTCTGTCCTCACTGCCCCGAGCCCGTCTGCCGTCTGTGCTTCTCCGGGCACCTCTGTCTTTCTTTCTCATTGTTTCCCTGACTCTGAGGGACTCCTGGCACCCTCCCCACCCCAGGCCCTCCCCAAGCAGACCCCTTCGGGGGGAGGGCAAGAGCCTCCCACTCCAGGTTCTTATTTCCCAGCCGCAGGTGGAGCTGGCCTGCTAGGCACAGTCACCGCACACTGCGGAGTGGTTTGTGGCTGACCGGCCACCCCGCGGTGTTGGACTTCATCTCCCTGCGGCCCTAGACAAGCCAGGAGATGACTGAGTGTCTGACCTCCCTGACAGAAGGGGTCTTTTACAGCCCCTCCATCGACTCCCCCCCCACTCACAGCCTCCTCCCCCTTTTGCAGCCACCTCCTTGGGGCGCCCCTCAGAGTTCCAGACAGGGACCAGGAGCACCTGGGGTTCCGATTGTGATGCAAGAAGGAAACAGGAGCCTGGGATACAGGCAGGTGGCAGGTGGGCGTCCCGACCCCTGAGTAAACACTGGGAAACCCCACTTTCACTGCATCGGGGTGCCAGCCAGACAGCGGCGTTGGAGACAAGCGAGGTCAGAGCGCAGCCAGCCCCGCGCCGAGGCTGCGGCCTGACTGGGGTGCCGGTTCAGCGCGAGTGGGCCATCCCGGGGTGATAGCTGAGGCAGGGGAGTGGGGCGGGGGGACCTCACCCTTTCAAAAGGAGGTAGACCCACCTGTTTCCAGGTAGGGGGAATATGAGAGGAGTTCATACTCTTTGAGACTTAAAATTACTGAAAAGCTTAAAAAAATCATCAAATATAATTCTACAGCCCAAAGACCTACCTTTTTTGTGTTGCACACACAGTTTTGTTTATGGGTTTTTCTTCGACTCTGTGTTGAGCCTTACCCCATGTCATTTAAAACTCCTGGTAAACATAACTAATGACTACACAACTAGACTTACACATAGGCACCTGGCCATTCCCCTGAGGGTGTCTGGGCGACTTCCCGCTTCCTGTCTAAGGAATGGGACACGGCCTTGAGCAAACCGTCCTCGCTCCCCACTGGGGCCGAAGGAACCTCGCACCTCTCACACCAGGCCCTTAACGGGACGGAGTGCTGGGGTGTGCAGAGAAGTGGCACAAGCTTTGTCACCCTGCTTGGTCTGTGGCTCAGCACATTGCTAAGAGGGAACGTGCTGGTGGAGGAGGTGACAGAGGTGACCTTCCCAGGCCCAGCCCTTAGGTCAGCTGCTTGGCCACCAGGAGACCTTGGGCAGGCAGGTTGGGCCTCCCAGCTCCTCCCTGGGTCTGGTGTCTTGGAAACCCCGTCCCCAACCATGAGCGAGCGGTGCTGGTGTCACTGGCCTTTGCCTCAGAGGTGGGCGGAGCCCATGGCCCACTTCCGCCCCCAACCCACTCAGAGAGGCAGAGGCCCGACTCGCGATTCAGCCGCCTTCTCCAGCCCTGGGAGACAGTGAGTTCCAGTTTGGCTGCCCACAGACTGTTGATGGCATCTCAGCCATTGGAGTGGGGAGATTTTACACACACACACACACACACACACACACACACACACACACGCCCCAGAAATCCAATGTCTGGTCTCTCTTAAAAGGTTGGCAGCTTGGCATCACTGGGCCTGTGTGCCCCCTGGCCGTAGTCCGCAGGGAGTGTGCAGTGGCTGGCTCCTTCAGGTGGATATTGGGTGTCTGGTCCTGCACTATCCCTCTCCCGCCTTACCCCGCTGGCCCCTGCAGGCAGTGGACTTTGTCACCTGTTGTTTAGTAATAAGAACCCAACGCTTCATAGCCCGCCGTTCAGCCCCACCTCCTAAGCCTCCACCGAGTGAGCCTGGCTGTCACTGTCCTTTTCCAAGGAGCTGGGTGGGTGGTCATCACAGAATGCTCTGCAGGAAAACCCCAGACGCGCTCTGATGAGTGCTGGCGTCAGAGTCTTTGTATTTGGGGTTATTTCCCGAGGAGAAGTTCCTGAGGCAGAACCAGGGTCTGTGGCCTGCAGGGAGGATGGCCACTTGAAGGGACAGCTCTAGGGAAGGGCTGCTGTTCCGGAGTCGGCTGTCTCAGGGCTGGTTTCCCCACCCCGGGCTCCAGGTCACCCCTGCCTCCTGATGGGGCGCACACCCCCTTCCCTTGTGAACAGCCTCACCTGCCTCTTGCAAGGCAGACTGGGAGCTGGGGAGGATGCCGGTTGCAGATGTGCCCTGGTCACTGGCGGACCTGTATCCACAGGCAGACTTACCAGGAACCACTCCAAACAGAAAATTCTGGGGGCTGGGCAAGGACAGATCCAGGTTTTATAATGCCTGGAGTTTATACAATTTGGGGGCCCTTTTAAGAAAAGGATATGAAATTACAAATATAAAAGTAGGTACGGGCATCCTGAGGGTCACCCCCTGAGGTTCCCTGGCGTGGGCCCAGAATGGCACAGTGGTCCCCTCTGCTGCACCTGCCCTGCAGACTTTGCTGAGAGCCCAAGTTGGCTGGGTCCTGTGGTGGGAGAGGGTGCTGCAGGCTGTCAAGACCAGGCCAGGTGTCTCTCACCTGGAGTCCCAGGTGTGGCCTGAGGCTTGAACACAGGGAGGGCTGGGCTGTGGGGCCAGGCGAGAGGCCTGGGTGGGGGCCAGAGGTGAGGAACAAGGCTCACCGTGACCTTGGCTTTGTGCTGGCAGGTGGAAAACCTGAAGGAGAAACTCATTGGCCAGGCCCAGGAAGTGAGCCGCCTCCGATCAGAGCTGGTGAGGCCAACAACGCATCCTACCTGGGGCGGAGGGCGGCCGATGGCCCGTGCAGATGAGGGGTGTGACCCTGTCTAGCCCAAGCCGGGGCTGCATCCTGTCTAGAAATGTCCCCCAAATACTTACCACCAGCCCCTAGGCCCTCAGGGGACGGAGGTGAATTCTTCTTTGCTGACATAAAACAGGAGTGTGAACTCTATGTATAAATGTGACTTTTCTTGTTACTTTCACACTCAGGAAAATAGAATGAAGCGGCGGCGGGTGGGGGGGGGGCGTTGCTGCAGGGAGCAGTTCTGGCCTCACTGCCCTTCTCGCTCTTTCTCTCCTATCTGCGTCTGTATTTCTCTCTCGAGCCCCTTCCCCCTTCTCTTCCTCACTCGCCTTTCCTGTTCTTTTCTCCTGTCTTCCTCTCGGCCTTGCCCCCTCTCCCCTGCCGGTGCGCTCTGCCCCACCCCGCTCCTCATCCGCCCTCGCCACATGCCCCGCTTGGCTCTGGCTCTGCAGGGAGGCACCGACTTGGAGAAGCACCGGGACCTGCTGATGGTGGAGAATGAGCAACTGAGGCAGGAGATGCGGCGCTGTGAGGCGGAGCTGCAGGAGCTGCGGGCGAAGCCGGCGGCCACCTGCTCGGGCTGTGAGCACAGCCAGGTGGGCGCGGGTCCCAGGGGCTCCATTCCTCACAGCCCCCCTCGCCTGCTCGTCTGTCCACCCGTCCGCTTCACGCGTGTCCCGGCCTCGTCTCCTGTTCGCAGGAGAGTGCCCAGCTCCGCGACAGGCTGTCGCAGCTCCAGCTGGAGGTGGCAGAGAACAAAGGCCTGCTGTCCGAGCTGAACCTGGAGGTGCAGCAGAAGACCGACCGGCTGGCTGAGGTGGAGCTGCGGCTCAAGGACTGCCTGGCCGAGAAGGCGCAGGAGGAGGAGCGGCTGAGCCGGCGCCTGCGGGACAGCCACGAGACCATCGCCAGCCTGCGGGCCCAGGCGCCGCCCGTCAAGGTGAGCATCGGGGCCAGCGGCCTTGTGCAGTCCCTGTGCAGGCTGGGACTGGGCCTCAGCACTCGGCCCCTGGCCTGGGGGCGG